ACTTTAAAGTGTTCAGCTACTTGACGAATCTGCTCCTTTGTAAGCTTTTCCAAGAGTTCTAATGTTGGAGAAGACAAAAAAGAACTCACAGTATCCATTCTCAAACCAAACTAACCCAACAAACCCACTTCCAAAAAATACAAGTCAAAGTATACCAAATTATTTAACCAACCACAAGGAAGTGCATGACTGGCACCAACAAATGGCAGACCTCCATTTTCCTACAACTAACTAAATGCCAAAACCCTGACTAAGCTTAGCCTAGTCTTCAGGCCTTCCTCCAAGAGCCAAGGCACTTTAAGCACCAAGATACCGCTGGCAGCAAATCCCTCCAGGCCAAGACCTCTCAGGCAGCAAACCACGGCGGTGCCCTCAGCCCAGAGTCCAACCCAAAAATAACAAACTAAAACAACAAACAGGGTCGTCTAAAATGGAGTTGCCAAAAACAATAAATACCAGACAGCACTTACCTATTACAAAACAAGATACTCTCTCCCCCCTCCAACAAAAGTACAAAAATCCTCATGGACCTCCAACAACATACATATGGAACATCAAAAATGTCCAAAATCCAGTAAGGTTAAACACCTTAAACTAGCCAAAAAACCTACAAATAACCTGCAATACAGGCAAACCAAAGTCAGGGGCATGTAACTGCAACCTGAACCCAACAATGAGGCCAAACAAGACTAATTAGTCCACATAAATTGGACGAGCTCCCACAATGTTACGTCCACCAGGCTCGTTTGATGGGGTAACATTAAAAGGAGACCACACAAGGATTTAGTAACTTAGTGAAAGTAGAATTTATTAAATTATATTAAAGAAATAACCCTGAAAAAAGAATACCTGAAATGAGAAACCAAAATAGATTAAAGCAGAACCTATAAGTGACCAGAAATAAACAAATGCTTAAACAAACCTAACAAATCTCAACCAAAAGATACAAACCAAACCAAATAGGGATCTGAGGAGAGAGGAGGGAAAAGCCTCCTGACTGCTGCATGCCTGGCAGTTTTAAAGCTGCAGAACACCAATCAGGGCAACACACATCACCTGCAGAGACCTGTCTGCAGAACCCTAAAAGGAAAAAAGGGCAGAGACCCACTGAAGCCGTAACAATNAAACGAAGTGAGATCGGATTTGTCCGCTGTTACCATTAATAATAATAATAATAATAATAATAATAATAATAATAATAATAATAATAATAATAAGTCATGACCACATTATTTTAATTCATTTATTTTAATTTTGTGTGCTTTTACTTTGCACTTACTTCCGGTTTTACCACGTTGGTGTTTGTTAACTTAACGAGAAATCCTGCCGTTCCGGTGTTTAACTTCCTGTGTGAAAGGTTACAAATGTTTCCTGAAGCATAGGTCTGTTTTTGTTAGACTGACTTCTTATTTTAACAGAAACAGAAACAGCTGCATCAAATATGTCTTCTGATAAATTAATTGGGCCTGCTTTACCGCCGATGTTTAGAAAGGATGGATCTGAAAGCGACGAGAGTGAAAATGATTGTAAGAAACTGATATTTAGTTTTAAGCGATCAAAAACATACTTCCATTTATTATTATTATTATTTTCCAGCTGTTGTTTTTTTCTCTTTACACTCTGTAGTCGCTGGTCCCGCGCTGCCTCCCGGTTATAAGCGAGGGGAGCCGTCCAGTTCTTCGGATGAGAGTGAGCCGGAGGTGACGTTCAAAAGACCCAGGACTGGAGGAACTGCAGAGTGGGTGGCCACGATAATGTTTGGTCATGAAAAGTGATCCAACAAG